CAGCAGGGCCCCCATAACCTTGGAACCAAGCCTGAGTTTGTAGTACAGCAAAATGAGACAGCTGGTAGTCGCAACAAGCTCCAGTCCCCAAAGCTGGCCTTGACCAAGGGCCCCCAAGCAAAGTGGGAAGATTGGGAAGAGAAGTTTTTATGAAAGCCACTCATATCTCCCTAATTTCAGACCTTAGTCCTGAGCCAGGGGAGGGAAGAGAGTGTGTGGTCCATGTACCAGGGGCCACTGTGGACCCACCCTAGTTGGAGGACCTTAGGGGTCTCACTAAATGTGACTGTCTTTCGCAACCTGTAATCTTATGATAAAGGAGGAGAGCTGGGTTTTCCAGAGGCCAGATGACAGGGCAACTAGAGAAAGAACTCAGCCCAAACACAGAGGGCTCTTACTAAATCCACCAGCCTCATCCTCAGCGCTGCTTGCTCTAACATCCAGGAAGTTTTTGGAGGTCCCCGGTGGGGCAGGGGGCAGGTGGAGCTGTCTCTGCCTCCTCTACCATGTTAATGCACATCCTCCTCAAGGCAGGGCCGCTGGGATTCCACCCCGCATGCGCCAAGGCACAGGCACAGGCAACGGGACTCTCAGACTGTGGTCTGTGGGTCCAACACCACCATTTCCTGGAGGTGTGAAGCTTGTGAAAAAAACTGATCCCTGCGCCTCACCTCTGACCCACCTCAGCTCATCTCTGCGGGTGGGCCTGGTATCTGCATTTCACATGCTCCCTGGGGGATTCTTATGACCCCTGACGTTAGGTATTTCCCTCAAATCGGGCCCTCTGAGGTCATTTCGGGGAAAAAGCAAACATCTTGATGCCTGGGCCACATCCCAGACCCACCACTCAGCATCATCAGAGGTGGGACCCCTGCACCGGTATTCTGTGAAATCTCCCCAGGTGATCCGAAGCATTCAGGGGATGAGAACTGCTGGTGTGCGCATCCCCTCTGCCTCCCTGAGCCACCGCCAACAGGCTGGTCAATGCCAAAGTCATGTCTAAAGGGCCTCATGTCTAGATAGGGATCTGTGCCAGGCTCATGGGCTAAATGCACCAGGATTCTTCTACTTTGTGGGAGACAGTGGAGAGAAGAGGAATCCCATTGGCTGGTCAGCCGGAGACAGGGAGTCTCTGCCAGGCTCTGCCGTTTCCTCCCAAGAGGCGTCGTCTGCTACTGGCAAATGGGTCTCACCGATTCCCCCTTCTCATGCTGGAGGCAGATGCTAGCTATAGAAAGCCCTTTGTAGGGAAATACATAAATTAGGAAAATCATGTGGGGTGTGAGCCCAAGGACTGCTGGTTTGGGAGATGATGAGACCGAACACCAGATCAGAGCCCCACACAAAGGTCCTGACTGTGGCAAGTGATCAAACTTTTCATGACTGCGGAAGGGTGTCCCGAGCACAGGTTTTAGAAATTAATAAAGCATGTGGCTGAAACATCTGACTTCGCTCTGCAAAACGGGGCCCTGCACACATCTGGAGAAGGGGTGTGTTGGGGGCTGGGTGCAGCTGGTCTCGGGAGGCCGAGGCAGGGGCCAGGAGGGCGGGTGCTGGGGCGTGGCTGGACGAGGGGCAAGGCTGCGTTGGGGTCTTTCAGGTGTGCAGTGACCAGGTGTCTGCTGTGTGGCAGGTAGCATCAGCTTTAAGGAGGAGGGGAGGGTGGTGGGTGGAGGGCGTTCATAGCCTGCTGGCACCGAGCACCTCTCAGGGGTCCCCTTTCATTCCTGAGAACACTGACAGGCCTCAGAGAAGCCAGGGTATTAGTGCTGGCATCTGACAGACACACCAAGGTGCAGGCAGCCTTCCCCTCCTCCTGCCACACTTTGGAGGCTGCCTTCCCTCCAGCCCAGTAATGATTTGATGTCTAAACACAGAAAACAGGGCTGGAGGAGTGAAAGAAACTGCTCCTCACTGTTTCCTTTCCCAAAAAGTGTAATTAGCACGGCTGGATGTGAAGTGCAAGAGTCCCCTAGGCTCCTGGCCCCCGGGCACTCCCAGGAGATGACAGCAGGCCCCAGTGGCTGGGATCCTCACCTGGCTGTCTGCCTTAAACACACCCAGTCCTCGGTACCCAGTGACAGATCAGCAGAAATTGGCATCCTCTCGCCAGGAGTCTCCCCAGGGGAACCCCCATGCTCAGAGCTCAGGGGATGGGGCAGTGGCAACTGCTCCTCTGGAATGGCCTTCAGAAGATTTGCAAACAAGACCAAACCTCTCACCCATACCAGCCTGCAGGAAAATGTGCTCAAAACCTCACCAGCAACCACGGTTTCCCCTTCTAGTTTTCCCTCTTTCCTTCCTTCCAACCTTCCTCCCTCTCTCTTTCTTCTTCCTCTGATTCCTCATTATTCAGTATAACCTCTTTATTTATTTATTTGAGATGGAGTCTCACTCTGTCACCCAGGCTGGAGTGCAGTGGTGCAATCTTAGCTCACTGCAATCTCTGCCTCCCAGGTTCAAGCAATTCTCGTGCCTCAGCCTCCCGAGTAGCTGAGATTACAGGCATGCACCACCAAGCCCGGCTAATTTTTTGTACTTTTAGTAGAGATGGGGTTTCACCATGTTACCCAGGCTGGCCTTGAACTCCTGACCTCAGGTGATCCACCCAGTTCGGCCTCCCAAAGTGTTGGGATTACAGGCGTGAGCCACTGCGCCCGGCCAGTATCACCTCTTTTAGAGGTCATTTACAATCACATCAAAATGGAAATCACACTTACTCTTGAACTCTGCAGTTCCATGTGGACACTTTCTGTTGCCTGTCTCCTGCCCGTGGGCACTGGGAGAGCTGTGTGCAAGGACACTCAACACAGTGTTCGCCAGAGCCTGGGATGAGAGATGACCCTTATGACCACCAGGAGGGGATGGGGCAAGCTGGTGACAGCACCTCTAGCACAGAAGGCCGAGCAGCTGTTAGAGAGTAGGGGGCAGTGCTCTATGATCTAGGGAGGGAGATCTCCAAATATATTCAGTTACTGAAAAAAAATAGCATAAGTATGAACACTATGCTCCTTGTGTAAAAATAAAAGGGTGGGGTGAGAAAAGGATTAAGCAGTAACTGCAGGGTTCCCGGCCCCCCCCCCCCAAAAATAGATCTGAAATAAATATTGCAAAATGTCAGCATTTGTAAATTCTGGGTGGTGAGTTCACAGTTACTGTTTCACAATTTTCTGTTTCAAACTTTGTGTTTGAAATACTTTAAAAATTAACAAAATGCATATGGGGAGATATAGAAATGCATTTATTCTGGTAAAGAACAGCTAACACTTTCATAGTGCTCACATGGGCCAGGCACTCTCACGATCCCCGCCTTTATAAAGGAAAAGACGGGGCACAGTATTTCAGTTGAAGCACAGAGCTACAAAGAGGCCTTAAACACACCCAGTCCTCGGTACCCAGTGGTCAGGATTCGAACCCAGCAAGCTGGCACCAAAGTCTGTGCTCACAACCCCTACACTACACTGAGGGGCCCTAGGCCACACCCAGAAAGTTGGTATCAGGGATGCTGGCGGGCCTGGGATGGAGGGAAGTTTACTTTTCACTGTGTACCTTGTATAGGTACTATTTGAATCTTTTAAATGTGCACGTTACTATTTTTTTAAATAATGTTTTTAAAGCTGGGAAAGTCCCAGTTACCAAGAAGTAACAGAATCCTGATAGGTGTGGAGCTTAGGGAGGCAGAGGAACTGCTCTAAAACCAGTAGCTTCAACTTCCGGCTGGCCTCCAGGGTTGCAGCAATTCGGAACCTGGGGCGCCATTACTTCCTGTCCAGTCTGCACCCCTCCCCTCCTGTCTTCCGGTATAGACCCCCACCCCCTTGCGGGCAGGTTGGCCATGTGACCCCAGCTGGGATGTCATGATTGGTCCAGCTATGGGCACCAGATCTAAGCCCAGCCAATCAGAATCCTGCCTTGGGCTTTACACTAATGGAAGGTCCTTTTCCTTATGGTTGGGGGACCCAGAAGGCCAACAGTCAGGGCTCCCTGACAAAGCATGTAGTTGAGTACCAGTATCAATCCGAGGGACAAGAGGGAGGGACAAGAACCAGTCTCAGCTGAGTTCACATCCTGGACTCTGTCATCTCAAAGCCAGTTCCCTCCCTGCCTTCCAACTTGGTTTCATTCACTTTGGATTGAGTTGACTTCTCACTGACAGAAACCCACAACCCACAACCCAAAACAAGGGCAGCCCATGGCCATGATTAAGCTCTGCACCAGTGGCGAAGGGATCCAGTGGGAGACCAGAATCCCAGCTCTGCCCTGTGTGTGGCCTCAAGGGAGTTACGAGCTTCTGAGCCTTAGACATGCTCCCTGAGCTGCCACCAAGCTGCCTCATGGGGCTGTCCTAAGGATTAATGTATTAATCCAATCCCAGGCACATCAGTCATTAATAAAATTAATAATATGGTAACAACTAAGCCCACTATCTTTGGAAGTAACTCCTTACTAACTACATTAAACCCAAACTCGAGGCTCTGGAAAAGAGGATGCCAGCTGGGAGCTAAAACGGCAGAAAGGAAGGTAGATGGAGTTGCTTCTCCCTCTTGTGTCCCTCTAGATTCACTGTATGCTCTCCTCTCTGACCTGGGAACATGCCTGTGTGACCCACATCAACAAGCTCCCTCGGCCCGGTGGCTTCCAGCGGCCTCAGTCAATGGATTGAGGCAGGGGCAGGAAAGCAGGGTCAGGATATTAATTTCCCTGGAGGGTCCCCATGACTGGCTGCATCCTTTGAGCAAAGGTCACAGCTCCTTCAGGTGCCCCTCTCACTCCTCCAGCAATCCTCTGTCTGCTAAAGATAACTCCTTCCTCACTCAGGCCCAGGGGTGGGAGTAGCGCTCCACACTGCTAGCCCAGGGTTCTGCATTCTCGTGGGAGGCTTAGCCCACACTTCGTAAATATTGCCTTTATTAAACTCTGCTCAACTTACCCAATTTGAGTGTGTAATCTGCTTTTCTCTGAGACCCTGGCTAGCTGATTGGTTCTTTTTCAGGTTTCTCCAGGCTCTGGCCAGACAAAATCCTTCTCTGCAGAGGATGTTGCCCCAGGGTCCCAACTCTGGTCATGTTCCCCTTTTCCCTCCAAGCTTCCGTACCCCAGCAGTTTTCTCCAAAATCCATCAGACCCCCAAACACGAGAAGGGACCTCTGATGAAAGTATCTGAGCCATCCAGCCCCAAAAGGAGACAAGCAGGGTCACATCTGGGTTCCAGAAGCATCCAGAGAAGCAAACCACTGATTTCTACACACCAGAAAAGATACCTGAGAGTGTATATTTATAGAAAGATACATAGAAATGGACAGATGGCGTCTATCTATAGATACAGAAAGCGCTGTTAGAGAATTGTGTATATATCTGCCACATCCTCCCCCACAACCAACAGCACACAATTGCCCGGATCTTGGAAAACGACACTTGTTTAAGTGGTTGGTTCCCTCCCTAGCAGTTTCCAAAATGAGAAGGATGGTCTCAGGGATAGTCCTTAAATATGTGTATGTATCGCTGTAAAGGAGAGAGAAGGAGGAGAAGGAAGAGAAGTGGATTTTCATGTTGTGCATGGCAGAAGAGATGGGACTGCTTTGGGGAAAAGGGCTTGATCCCACTGGAAAAGCATGAAAGACAACTCCAGAAAAGACAGCTAAGGTTTCTAGGTTGGGACATAAAAACACAAGAGCAAGACGTTCGCACTCTGCAGTCCACTGAAATCCCTTGTAGCACATTACAATCAGTTAAGGGCAAAATAAAATCAGAATAATACTAAGAGGTAGCAGCTGTTTATCTTCTCGGAGATTTCGAGGGTCTGTGGAAGCTGGGCCAGGTAAGGGTGCTCTCCTGGAAGAGGCTGGGGTGGGGCAGAGTTGGGGCTGAGGGCTCCCCGGCTCTGGGAAGGGTGTGGGCTGATCCGCACAGATGCTGCAGCTCCTGAGCCTCCAGGGAGCCTCTGCCCATTACAGGCCACTCCAAACCAGAGTCATTTCCTGGGCTAGTTATGCAGTCCCCACAACATATAAATAAAAGTTTAGTTCTGTGTTTCCATAGATCTTCTACATGAAGGCTAGCTAAATATTAGTGGAGTAACAATAATTATTAATAACAATAATCGTCATAATAACAATAATTAATAGAATAATAATGCCTTGGGGTGTCAGGGGTGGGGTCCTTCATACGGCAGGGTGGGGCCCTGGGGAGGGGCTCTATGTCTGGTAGAAGTGGTGGTAATGGTGGTGATGTTCGTGGTGGTGGTGGTGCTCATGTCTCTGGACCGGCTGCCCGGCCTGGCTCTCATACACCACCACGGAGGGCAGCTCCCGCAGGTGCTCCCGCCCCAGGATGGGGCCGCCCGAGGCCAGCGGTGCCTGTAGGCCCCGGCAGCCCTGTTGGCTCTCCTTGGCTCGGTGCTTGTGCTTCTTGTGCCCGAGGGGGGCTAGGGAGGGGAGGAGGGCCGGGCTGGCGGCCAGGTGGGCGGAGGGGGACACCGCAGGGAAGGCGGGTCCCAGAGGGGGCTTGTTTCTTGCCCCTCTGGCCACGTGGCCCACACCCACGCTCTTGCCCTGGGCCTTGGGGGACCTCACAAAGTGCTTGCTCCCGTCCTGGGTGCCCCGGAGCCGTTGCTGGAGCTCTGAGACCTTGGCGATTGGGGTGTCAAGGAAGTGGAAGGAGCCCGGGTCCACGCCTTGGGGCTTTCGGTGTGGGACGTGGATGGCTTCCGGCTCATGGGAGCGAGACCGAGTGGGGTTGGAGGTGCGGGGGGGCAGTTCTGACTTCTGGGCCACGGAAGGGGAGCCTAGGAACCAATTCAACAGACATTTAATGAGCACCTACTGTGTGCTGGGGCTTGTGCTGTACCCCAGACATCACCCCCACCCCCAGTTCTCCAAGACCAGAGCTACCTCCCAATGCCGGACTGCCCCTCACTGCCTTGCAGGAAAACTCTCTGAAATGGAACTTTCCCATCTGCTAAGAGGGAAGAACTGGTTCTTCGGCAGGTCTTAAAAAATACTCTCTGAGAGGGAGCCGAGAAAGAGAGATGGCAGCAGAGACCCCAAAAACTGTCCAAGGTCACTGGGGCAAGAAAGAACTCTAAGTATATTGCTAAAAACATACAGAAGTAACTCCTAGAGGAATTAAACATATGAAGAGAAAGGGGAGAAGGGAGTTGTGGGAGTGAAATTGAGCAAGAGGTCAACATATGTCAAGGCTGATAAAGACACAGCAGCACTGTACCTAGGGAAACCAAGGTTCTCGCTGGAAGAAACAGCCAGGAGGGGTCAAAGTGGTTGCCCAGGGAACAGGGCTTGAATGGGCTGGGTTGGGGCACGGAACTGTTGTTTGTCATTGGGTGCTAAGTCCTTAGATACTATTTGATTTTGTTCAATTTCGTGCATGTATTACTTTAATTTTGAAACCGTTTTTAATATCACTTTCTCCAAGAGTCTTTGACCTGTCCCATAATAGCTGTCTTCCTGAAGCCTGGGGTAGCAGTGAACACCACCCGCATGGCCCGCATGGCCCGTCCAGCCACGCCCTGCCTTCATCGCCCATCGCAGGGTGCTCGAGTCCCTTACCAGGCCCAAACTGGGACGTGTAGTTTTCTATCCCGGCGAGATCTAAGTAGTGGTTTCTCCTCTCGATGTTCTCATCTACGCAATGGTGGTAGCAGCCAGACTGCTCCAGGCGGCTGTCACCCTGGAACCTACGGCAGGGGAGGAAAGTGAATGGGGTGACACCGACCACCAGGTGGGGGCAAGTGCATAGGCTACTGGGAAGCCCCCAGAACGAACTCTGGACTGTTCATTCATTTTCTTCTTGGCCTTTGGAGAGGGTGGGGAGGAACAGCCCTCTCTACAAGCTGGCCTCCATTTGCTTCCCTGCGGATGGAGAGACAGACCACAGACCACAGCCCATGGCCAGACCTCCCCACAGCTTCTGGGAGGAGTGGACGGGAGTTTGCTCTGAACAGGTTCAAAGCAAAAGTGAGAGATTATTGGCCAACTTCTAAGAATGCCCCAGTGCCAGACTTCAAGCCGTATGTGCCCACTGCAGGTAGGTAGCCTAACCCCTGGTCTGGTTCCCCAGGGGGTACGGGCAGCAGAAGCCCATTAAACTGTTGGAGTTGTGCCTGGCAGACCCCATGACCAGCCCTACGGCCCAGGATGGGCCTCACCAGTGTATGAGTGTGTGTGTGCACACACACTTGTGACTAACAGTGTGTATGGAGGGGTGGGGAGAAATGCTGCCAGAGGCTTTCTTTTTCCCCTGCAGGGCTCGGGGCTCCCTGGTCCTCTCCTCCAAAGACCTCTTTGATCTGCTCCCATCCTGGCTTCCTTCCCACACAACACAGTACCACCTTCCCCCAGGATCTAACCAGCCTGGGTCCCTCTGATTCTCAGCCCTGTCCCCACACCTGGCTGTGACCCTGCTTGAACTGTTTTTTCTTTCCCCTAAGCGAGTACTAATCCAGCTCTGGTCATTCCCTTACCATTTACGCTAGAGGTTAACACAGCCTCACGCCTGCCGTGTTACTGTTGTTTACTCAATCCCTTTCTTTAAACAATCTCTCTTTCCTTTCCTCCCTTCCTCCCTTGCAGCTGAAGAAATAACAGGTGAAAATTAACTACAGCCTCATAATTCCTTATCCACCATTCTGAAATCCAAAAAGCCTGAAAACCAAGATTTTTCATAACCCACGTGGCAGCCAGGCCCACCCTAAAGGGATGGGAAGGTGTTTACGGTCTCTATCTCACTTAGTGTGAACATCCAATCATCTCCCAGTAGAAACAGCAATGCGTCAGAGCCTGATGCACTGCTGAGAGCACCTTTCCAAAGCCCCAAAAATGCTGGACTCCAGTCCTGTCTGCCCAAGATGTGTTCCATAAAAGGATGTGGACTACATGTAGTTATTTGTTAAGATTTTCATTTGATTTATGAGTCTGTGCATCAAAAGCGTTGGCTCCCTGAAGAGAACACAGACCAGAGCAAAACTTCTTGCTCTGAATCCTTCAGATGCAGGTACACAGCTGGTGTTCAACATATGCTTAAGTGCACCATGCCCACATACCTGAGCGGGGCTCGCTGCTTCTTCTCCCAGCTCCGCAGCTCCTCAGTGGGCTTGGTCTCTGCTCGGGGCCTTGTGCTCTGCAGGTCTGAGTCCGGCCCGAGAAGCACAGGAGACACGAGATAAGCCACCTGCTCCCACCCTCCCCAGGGCTGCCTGGCATGCAGCTGCTTTGCAAGGTCACTGTGGGAGGGTTCCCTGAGCTGGGGCTAAGTAAAGGGGTCTCAAGGCTACCTGCCCTGGACATGTCCCCATCTAGCCTCACCTCCTCCCCCAGACTCCCCGTCCAGCCTCACCTCCATCTAGCTGGCCTCAAGGCTTGCAGACACCGTGCTGCCCACAACACCAGCCTTTATACCAGCAGCATGGCTCTGCCTATGTGAGGCCTCTCACCCAGAATCCCTTCCCTCCCCTTCCCACCCTTCCTCCTACCCCTTCAAGGACCCATTTGAACCCCACCTGTCCACAAAGCAGCTGCCCCAGAAAGCCCACAGGTTCCCTTCCAGCCCTCCCAGGAAGGCTCTGGTCCTTCCCAAGAGATAGGAGGACGTTGTTACCCAGGCTTAGCCCTGCAGCCCTCACCGGCCTGATTGACAAGGATGCTCCTCTTGCTCTGGCTGCCCTCGGGGGCCACAGTGAGCTTTACCCGCAGCATCTTGCTGGATGTCGGGGAGTGGTTGACAGAGGAGTCCACCACCTCATAGATGGTGTGCAGCAAGCTGGTGATGTCCTGAATGGGAGGGAAGCGGGTTTCAGTCACAGGGCCTTGAAAATAGAAACCAGAGGGCCCGGTGGATGCTGCAGGCCTGAACCCCTCTGGCTGCCCCAAAGCAGAGCCTAAGGCAGAAACCTGGATGTCTGAGGTTCATTTGGGAAGAGATCCTAGGAAGCAGAAGTGAGGGAGCAGGGAAAGAGAAGAGGAAGATCCCATAAGAGAAAAGGAAAAGAACAGATTACAGCCAGGGGCAACTGGGGCTCAGTCGTACTGGGGCCCTGGAGGGAGAGTGTGGAGGCCACCTTGGAACAGCCTCATCGAGATAGAGGGAGGGTTTAGAAATGGACTCTCATTCCTCACTGCCTGAGAGCTCCCCAAGGATGCTACATTCCCTGTACTTTGGATTTTTGTTTGTTTGTTTGAGATGGGGTCTCACTCTGTCACCCAGGCTGGAGTGCAGGGGTGTGATCATGGCTCACTGCAGCCTTGAACTCCCAGTCTCAAGCGATCCTCCGACCTCAGTCTCCCTAAGTGCTGGGATTACAGGTATGAGCCATAAGCCACTGTGCCCCACCCTCCCTTGTGCTTTTGGGTTTCCCTGCAAGGGCCAAGCCAAGGGCCTGTACCTGAGAAAGTTCTTACAGTGGGCACCGTCCACCATGGTAGCAGGTGAACTTCGAGGTGGGCCCAGGGAAAATGGGGTGGGAGCATCAAGAGCATCCGCTTCGGGTTTGAAATGAAAACTGGAAAGGGAGACGTGTCCCTGCTATGGACTGAATTGTGGCTCCCCACTCACTTGCAAATCCACAGGTTGAAGCCCTAACCCCCAATGTGATTGTATTTGGAGTAAGGAGATAACTAAGGTTAAACGAGGTCATGAAGGCAGGACAATGATAGGAGATCAGGGCCCTTAGAAGAAGAGGAGAGCTGGGATATGGCTCACACCAGGAATCCCAGCACTTTGGGAGGCCAAAGTGGGAGGATCACTTCAGCCCAGAAGTTCAAGACCAGCCTGGGCAACATAACATTCTCTACCAAAAATTAAAAAAAAAAAAATAGCCATGTGTGGTGGTGCACACCTGTAGTCCCAGCTACTTGGGAGGCTGAGGTGGGAGGATCACTTGAGCCTAGGAGTTTGAGGCTGTAGTGAGCCGTGAGCACACCATTGCACTCCAGCCTGAGCGACAGTGCAAGATCCCATCTCTTTTTAGGAAAAAAGGAAGAGACACCAGAAGAGGTCTCTCCACCACATGAGGACACAGTGAGAAGATGGCCATCTGCAAGCCAGGAAGTGAGTCCTCACCAGGAACTGAAGTAGGTGGCACCTTGGTCTTGGACTTTCAGCCTCCAGAACTGTGAGGAATAAATTTCTGCTAAGCCACCCAGTCTGTGGCATTTTGTTATAGCAGCTTGAGCTGGCTGAGACCGTCCCTAAAAGATAAACTAATCTGTGAGAACTTGACCAAATCTCATCTCTCTGAGCCTCAGGTATCCCTCAACCAGAATGGGGTGTCCACACAATGTTCCCTGGGTGTCTCAAAACCCTTCTGATTGGGGCTGGAGGGCACAGATTCCCCTCACTAGGCCTTTTCTGTCTGGGTATCTGCTGCGGTCACTTGTCTGGTGTTGGGGTGGGGGGCAACGTCCTGCTTTAATTGGCATTGGAAACCTCTGGAGAAGACATTTTTTCTCTATGAAGCAGACCCATCTGTGGCCAGTTACCTGCCCAGCAGTCCTTCACCTCCTGCCTGTTAAGTCCTGCAGGCTGAAGCAGCTGAGGCAACCCCAGCGCAGCCCCAAACAGGCAGGCATGTAGGTGGGCGGCCCAGAGTAGTGGGGGCCGACAGAGGCGCTGACCCTATCCTGGGAGGTGTGGCGGCTCAGCTCAGTTGACTTGTCCTCTGACAATGCAGGTGGGAGGGGGTCACACAGAAAAGCCAGAAATCCAGGATCTTCTGTTAAATCTTCAGAATCACTGATATTGACAACTGATTTTTACCAAAACCCTTTGGGGGACCAGACCAGAACATCTGGGGGCCAGACTGAAATTGTGGGGGCCACAAGTTTGAGACCCAGGCTCCAGGCACTCCCTAGCTGGCTTGCTCAGTGACCCCACCTCTTCCGACAAGGCCCACAGAGGGCTCTCCTTGTTCCTCCTGTCCTTCCCTCTGGCTTCTTCATAAGGACCTGTTTGCTCACTCTCTCTATCTTGGGCAGCCCATGAAGGAGGCTTCATTATACAGATGAGGTGGCTGAGGGACACACTTCATCCCCCAGACTTCTGATACCTTAGAGGACCTGGGGCCCTGGTGTCTAATCAGGGTGGAGGTGGTCCCAGCAGACCGAGGGTCTCAGAGCCTATGTGCTCTGGCAATTCTAGCTTGAAAATCAACCTCACTGACTACACAGGGCCAGACACGCAGGAATCGGTGTGCTATTTCCTGCATGAACGAACGCCTGAAGGAGGAGCAGGTCTTCTTTCTGACTGGAAAGCTGGCCCACACCCCAGCTCTGGGCTGCAGATGCGGTGAGGTGGGAGCCCATCCGCCCTGGCACTCAGAAGGCGTGGAAGGGAATCGTATTTACAGCCAAATTTGAGGAGTGGCGTCAGGGCTAAAAATAGACCAGGGAAACACCAGACCAGTCCTCCCTCCACTCAAAACCACTCCCTGGCTCCTCGGTGGGAGGAAGACATGACCCAGTGAACACTTTCTCCAGGGCCAGGCTGGGCCACCTTCCTTGGAAACTCTCTCCCTTCCTCTCATTACCAAGGCAGTGAAGGACAATGCAGGTTGAAGCTGTCATCAATCATCTTGCTACTGCCAAGGGGAGAGTCTGCCTTACAAGAAGGGAATAAAGCTGAGGAACAGAGGAAATAGACTGAGGAAACAGAGCAGTGATGAAAACCTTGTCCTGAAGCCACCGAGCCTCTGGGTCAAGCCATCCATGAAGTCAGACCCTGGACCAAATTTCAGTTACATGACCCAATGTATTGTATCCCTTTTTTTTTTTTTTTTTTTTTTTTAGGTAATACAGCAGTTGGAGCATGTATTCTGTCACTTACATGTCAAAGAGTCCTGGGTGCTTAAAAGTCACAACTTCCCCCTCCAACCTGTTGGAACAGCTCCTAAACCACAGCCTGAGAAGGAGGTGACCTTGTTAACCCAGAACTCACATCTGGCAGCATAAAGGTGAACTTCTCCTGCACTATCCACAGAGCTCCTGCGAGATCTGGAGGAGCATCCCAGAGCTGCTGGCAAGTGGGAAGAGAGGACACTGAGGGGCAGTGCCTGGGCTGAGAGCAGGGGAGCTGCCCTGCCTCCCTGTCCTCTCTTCCCACTTGCCAGCAGCTCTGGGATGCTCCTCCAGATCTCGCAGGAGCTCCCAGCAACTCCCCAGCTATTACAGCTTTCCCTGAGGGGCAGGACCGATGCAGGGGTGAGAAGTGGCAGTGGCAGGGTGCTGTGCCCAGGCCCTGTGCCTGCGGGCATGATGCACAGCAAGAAGCCAGGCAGGTGCACTCACCTCTCGGGTGACCTTGCCGTTGTTGTCAAAGTCATACAGGGTGAAGGTCCACTCCTGCCGGCTGTCCTCCTCCACAGACACATCGCACTGGAGCTCCTGGATGCAGAGAGATGGGTAGGGCTGGTCCCCTATCTGTGGCAACACTGACTGGGTGGTGGAAACCTGGGCCTAGAGGCCAGGCCAAGGGGCGGCCACCTGTCCTCTGCCCTCCCCAGACCTTGAGTGGACAGGGAGCACCTTGGCCAAGACAGAACTGGCCCAGGAGGATAGCCAGAGCCCGGGCAGGGGAGGTTCGGCCTAGGGAGGGATGCCTGCAGGGGTGCCTGGTGGTCTGTGGGTCTTGAAAGACAAAGGAAACACAGGGGGTCTGAGAAGAGGCGCTGTGGTCTCAGAAAAGCTGAACTTGGACCAAGGGCAACAAGCAACTAGAAGGCAAGGGAGCATCAACTTGGGAGCCCCAGCAGCATGCCGGGGTAGGACAGCATAAGCATGAGGAGCTTGGGTGTCAGTCAGTCCCAGGCCCCAGCCCCTGCAGGGCCCTCCACAGCTGTGTGACCCTGGGCATGTCACTGCCCTCTGCTGTGCCTCAGTTTCTCTTTGTATACATTATGGAAAATGATAGCCTCTCTCCCACGAAGTTGCTGGGAAGATTAAATGCCCCACCCACATGCCCTCAGTCCAGCTGTTTCCCTGCACCTGTGGTGGGGACAGTTCCCAACTTCCCGCCTCATGTACGCTCTTCTGTCTCAGGGCAGCCCTGAAGAGCCTGGGAAGGAATGCGCAGAGGCGACGGAACAAGGGAGGGACAGGAGGCAGTGGAAATGCCAGGCCTCCTCACCCCTCCCTGGGACAAATCTGAGCGCATGCTACATGGCTCCTAGGAGGCTCTCCAGCAGGCAGAGCCCACAGATGAACTCAGACTTCGCTGGCTTCCCTCCTTCCTTGCACCTGTGCTCCAGGATCGCCTCCCCTACATACTGCCTGCTCCCAGTGCCATGTGGCCAGGTCTGCTTAGGGGAACTGGAAACAGGAAGTGGAGGGTAAATGCTGGTGTCGTTTACACCTGTGCTTGGAGCACTGTCTGGCACATGGAAAAGCTCAATCAATGGTAGTAGCTGTTACTTTTGCTGTAATGATTAACATATTATTTCATTGAAATAATTATTTCAATCAATAATCAATGAAACAATCATTTCATTATTATCATTTTCAGCAACCTGAAGTGTCTGACCCTAGGGAATATGAGCCGCAAAGCGGTGAGCTGGTCACCGGAGTGCTGTGTGCAGAGGCTGGCTGAGTGTCAGACGAACAGTTCTAGAAAGCATGCTGTTCAGCAGGAAAGGGCTCCACAAACAGCCTTTCAGATCCATAAGATTCTATGGAAACAAGACCATTTTGTTCCATGGCATGCCAAACTCCACCTCTCCTTCCACCATCAAGAAGGTGGCATCTGGCTGGCCTGGCAGGAGGAAGGCTCAGCTCCCCAGAGAGGGGAAGGCAGCTGTCTGCGAACACTAGGAGAGTGAGCCCCAGCACAGCGTCCTGGCCCTGGCTGCTGCAGCTCTAAGTCATTACCCTCCAGCAATTCTCAGGTGCCCACGCTGAGTTCAAAGCCAACCTTGCTTCAGCCACGCCTGTTTGACACCTGCCAAGGGCCCTCATTGCTGCCCAAGGCACTGTTTCATGTGGCATGACACACGTGCCTATATACACACCCCTACACACACACACACACACACACGCATACCCCTAAACATGTACCTATACACACGCACACCTACACAGGTACACCCCATACATGCACACCCTACACACACATACCTATGTACACACACACACACACACACACACACACCATTTACCTGTTTCCAAGACAGCTTGGGTCTGAGCTTCAGAAACATGAGTTCAGTAACTCTGGCCACTTGCCCCACCTGTCACATGTGTGTCTCCTAGGCCTCTCCCACACCCCATCTGGGCTTCTCAGGTGAGTCCTGCCTGTGGACCACAGCTCAGTCCCGAGCCTGCCCCTCCAGAAGCAAGCACACTTGGGCTTCCAGGGAGGCAGGATGCCTGGGCCCGGTCTTCCTTCTGCCACTGAGTTTAGCCCTGGGCTTTGCCAAGCTCCCCAAAAGACCCTACAAGGACCCAGGTGGGCTTAGGGTGGGGCTGGGCTCCAGGAAGAAGCTGGCAGCCCTAATTCCTACTAGACACTACCTGTCCTCCTCAGGCGAGCCTTCAAGCCTCTTGGAGGCTGGAGTGCTGGTGTGCTGTGTGGGGAGAGCAAGCTGTGTGGTGTGGCCTGTGCAGGATGGTGGGGCATGGCAAGGAGACGACACTGGAAACGGGGTAAGATCGGTCACCTGGGACCCTGCACACAGGGCGTCTCCCCCATGTCCCACCATCCAGCACAGGCCACATGACGCGGCTCATTCTCCCCACACAGCACGCTGGCACTTCAACCTCCAGGCCCTTGCTCCTGCAGCTCCCTCTGCCTGAAAGACCCTTCTTACCCCAAAGGCTCCCCTGTGCACCCCTCTCCCAACTCCTACCCCTATGCTCAGAGCCTCACCCACCTCCCCAGTCTCCATCGCCAGCTGCTGTTCCCTCCTCCAGGCACCGCACAGAGCCTGGAAATGCCAAGTGTCTGTTACCCCACACCCCTCAGCCTGACCCCCACCCCGGGCTCCCAGATCTCATCTCATCACTGACTGTGCAGCCACTGGGTCTGGGGCCCTCAACTGTCCCCTGGTCACATTGTGCACTCCTTGACGGCAGGAACCACACCCAGTCTAAGCTGGGTCCCCTGGCAATTAGCCAGTGCCAATCAGCACTGGTTAGAAAGAGGGACACCCTCTTAAGCACTTTAGACCTTTAGGCGTATGAACTCATGATGCTGACAACAGCCCAATGCAACAGACATCACCACTGTCCCCACCTTACAGGCGAGGCACGTGAGGCCACTGAAACTTTAGGGAACTTGCCCCAAAGTCACACAGCCACTAAGTGTATAGCCAGGATTTGAACCCAGGCCTGTTGACTCTAGAGCTATGCCCTGGTGGTCTCAGGAAGGCAAACAGAGAGAAGGAAGGAGGGAGCAAGGAGGGCGGAGCAGTGGGGAAACTCCATGCAGCAGGCCTGCGCCTGGCTGTCAGCACTGGGCACTGTGCTGGGTGCAGAGGGGCATGCTACACTATCAGGCAGTGGGGAACAGACCGTGCAGCCACTGGGTCTGGGGCACTCAAGTGTCCCCTTCTCACCCCAAAGGCCCTTCTCTTCCCAAAGGCTCTCCTGTGCACCCCTCTCCCAACTCCTACCCCTACGCTCAGAGCCTCACCCACCTCCGCCCACAGCCTCTGCTCCCTCCTCCAGGCACCGCACAGAGCCACAGAGAGGCACATCCCTGGTGTTGCCCACATGGGGAAACTGAGGCCCAGAGAGTGTCAGGGACCTGTCTGTGCCTCCTGCTCGTCCATTCCACCTGAGAGCCCCCAAAGGCACCCCCAGAACAGCCTCAAGAGTTGGAAGGGAAGGTTTCGCCAAGCAAACTGAGGTCCAGAGAGGTGACAGCAGCAACAGGGCCAGAGTCCAGCCTCCCTCGTCTACTCTCATGCCTTCTCCCAGGCTGCTGGGCACACCTCGCATGGAGGGGCTGGGACCAGGCTGAGCGGGTGGGCAGTGGTGAGTCCCTGGGGTCTGCCCTGAGCCAGGACAGCCCCAGATGTGGCAGGAAGAACCTCCCACAGAGGGTGCTATTCATGCAGAGGAAGGGCCTTCCTGTCTGGAAGGGCCTCAGCTTCCCTCCTCCCAAAGCACAAAGTTGAGCACAAAACCCATCTCATCTCCCTAGGACCCAGCACCAAAAGGAAACTTACTTCAAACTTCAGCTGCTTCTTGGAGCCTGGGCAGGGTTCGCTCACTCTCTCCATCTTCTTCTCATCTCCGCTGCCCAGCCCGTCGGTCTTCTCAGGAGGCAGGGCCACTGTCAGGGAGGGAGGCAAGGGAGCATGAGGAGCAGGGTCCAGATGCAGGGCACTGCACTCACTGCACCTTCGTCTTCCAGGCCTGGCCTGGACATTCTCGCCAGTGGGCTGGGCCCACTCCTGCCCTGCCCATTTGCTGGGGTCAACATCACACTACTCTGGCACCTGGTACTGCCTGGGGAGCCCCCCGCCAAGCATGGTACACCCATTTGCACTGTCGGGGGCCCCCTCAGGCCCCTACCAGCCTGTGACTTCTGCCCTGTGGAGGCACACAGCCACCCAGAGCAGCGTCAGGCCAGAGGGCAGATGGATGAGAGTGGAGGGGTGCTTCTGGGGCCTGGCGAGGGAGCTTAGGAACCATGGCCATTTTCTGCAGTCTCACTGCCTTGTGTGCTGACATTTTGGCCTCCTCAAAGGTGCTACCACCTGGGCACAGCCTACGGCACCTTGGTGGATGGCCGGGAGGAGTGCCAGAAACAGAGTTCAACTGGGTTGGCACTCGTCCACATATATGTATGCACAAGCACACATGCACACACATACACACGTATGCACATGCACACACGCACATATGTGTACACTCATGCATCACACCTGCTCGCACACATATGCACACTCACACATGCACACACACTCGCACATACACAAAAGGCATCTTCAGGGAGCACACTCATCCTGAACCTTGCATTTGGCCTCTGCTCACCCCAGGTTCTCCCTTCTCTGCCAAAGGTCACGGCCCTGTGTGTGGCCTGCCAGGAGCTGTGGGAGGGTGAGTGTGAAATCCCAGGACCTACTGACACTATTTTCCTGAGGAAGCCAGCTCAGGGTAGCACCATCCTCCTTGACCTAGGACCCAGACTACAAAGTGCCATCAATTCTTGGAATAACCCATAAGCCTCCTTTAGTCCCTTCTGCCATTTTGTCTCTGTCTGATAGTGGGGCTGGGGTTTGCCAGAGACATCTTTTCCAGGCCACACTCACAGCTCCTCTCCTCTGATTCCCTCTGTTGCCCTGGGGTAGTAAATGTGTTGTCCTGTTTTAAAGGTGAAGAAACAGCCTGGCTCCTACTCCGGGAAGGGAGCCTGGTCCTTCTACCCTGACCCAAATGTGGCCACGGGGGTTATGTGAGGAGCTGAGACTCCCCAGTCAGAGAGGAAGGCAAAGCAGGACTTTCTTGGGAAGTCAGCAGCCTGGAGAAATGAGGCCGCTGGGCCAGGCAACTAGATGGGGGCTTTGTGTCTCTCTGATCCCACACTCCTACCACACTCACACACCCCAGCTATGCAAGCAAGGACCTAAGCGCAGTCCCTGGGCCAGGCACAGTGGGGATGCCCCCAGTGGGCCTGGGCCCCTGCTCTCCTGCTCTGCTCAGTCCTGCGGGCTGGGAGCTCTCTCCTCTGCAGTTAACGAAGGCACTTCCCCTTGGCGCCACTGTACGTAAAGATGAGGCAGCAATGACTAAGCACTTGCTGTTTACTAACTCCATCCTCACGAAGCCCTGTGAGGCAGTTATTATGATTAGCTCCATTTTCCAGATGGGAAAACTGAAGCTTGGAGAGGATAAGTGCCTTGCTAGTAAACAACAGAGCTGGGATTTGAACCCAGGCAGCCTGAATCATGCTCACAGTCAGTCCACTAGGCTGCCCCTCCATGCCTTTCATGGCTCAATTTAGGAGACTCGGTACTTCTCTCAGCCTGCCTCTCTCTGTCTAATGGAGGCCGGCCAGCCAGGGCAGTGGTCATCTCCACCTGGGTTCTGTTCTCTGGCACTGTGTGACCCTGGGCGGATCGCATACCTTCTTTAGACGTCTCAATTCCCCAGTTGTAAAATGAGGAAGCTACCAACCCCTTCCCCAGAGGATTCTTGTGCGGATGCAACAAGCCCTGATCACAACGGGCTAAGACCTCCAGCGCACTAGGTCTGGCCATGAGTAGTAACAGTCAGGGGACCGATGACCCCACCCCACTGACTCCTGGGAACAGGACAGTTAGCAGCTAAGTTTTCTCAAAACGGAGGCTTCAGGAATGCAAATGGACACAAAAGCATTATATCAAATACACACAGCCTGTGCAGGCAGCTTTGGACAAGGCCCTTGACTCCTCTGGACCTCAGTCCCCTCGTCTGTAAAATGGGAACACGATGGCCTCACCTTCACAAGGCTATTGGGAAAGGGCAATGAGGAAAGGGCTTACAGAGCACAGTGGCCAGCACTCAGTAGGTGCTCGATAAATGCTGGCTTTGCCAAGGATGTAGACGGGCTGTGGTCCCAGCTGACAGCCCAGATCCCAACGATCCCGCTTGACCCCAAACTGCCCCACTGGAGAAACCAGAGTAATATCACGGCCTGCAGCATCCTCTACTCACCCCTCCCAGGCAGGGGGAAAGAAGAGAAAGAAAAAGAAGAAAGAAAAACAAAGCCCAGATCCATCTTCAAAGCTGCTGCCTCTCTCTGCAGAGGTCCTGGCTGGAGATGCAAGCTGGCCAGGCTTGTCGAAACCAAACTTCAAGTTCAAAGGGAAGTTATCAGAAAACCACCTTCAGGTTCAATGTTGCCTTTCATGTTCCACTTGATAAAATCCAAAGAAAAGGAACCTCTGTCCCTGCTCTCTCCTCCTCTGGAGCACTCTTCCCCCGCCATGCACGGACATCCTGTCTTCCCTCAGGACCTCCCCTCTTCCTTCCTTTCTCCTCACCTGAAGGGGCTGGAGAACATCCCCCTCGACCCCTCATATGTCTTCCCCAAAGACTACGGTGGTCCAGATTGTCCTCTCTTCACCAGTGGCTCCCTCATCCCATCCCAGCTCAGAAAGCCACCCAGACATCCACAGGTCAGCTGAACCCGCCAGGGGCCCCTCCCAGCATGAGGCCTGTGATCCATCCTGCCCTGGGACTGTGGGGGTCAGGAACAAGGATGGTCAGCACTCTATCCCACCAAAGAAGGTCATTCACCCTCCTATTGTCCCCTGCCCAGTAGCCAGAAGAGGTAGCAGAGAACTGGCCATGCAGACCCTGATGCCAGGGGCAGGGGCCAGGCCTCATCCACATATGAGCCCTCTGAAACTAAACTAAGTCAAGCCACCAAGGCCCCCAGTCAGCCCCGTGCAGAAGAAACCACCCTCCACCCATCAGTGAGCGCAGGCTCATGGGAAGCAGGAGAGGGGGACTGGTGCTCGCTGCAGGCCGCCCAGGTCATGCCAAGGGGGATTGCAATGATGTATTTCTGTTGAGATCAGCTTTGGCACCAGAGTCTGAGTCCATTCTCTGCCTCTGATTCTGGTTTAGCCCAGCCATTTTTCCCCTTGGGAAATTATCTTTTGGGGGCCTAATATCAGGGAGTACTGATCATGCTGATCACTCTTCAACTGAAAGTCTGAGGAACTGCAGGAGACACTGCTCATTTGGAAGAAAAAAGGAAAGCAGAGGACCAGGTGGGAAAAAAGGCCTTTCACTTGCCTAAGAAGCACTTTTGGGTGACTTAGAGCAGGAAGTGGCAAAGTGCATTTGCTGAGCCAAACCTGGCCCACCTCCTGTTTCTGTAAATAAAGTTTTATTGGGACACGGCCATGCTTATTTGCATGGTCCATGGCTTCTTTCACTCTATGACAGCAGAGTTGAACTGTTGCAACAGAGCCCACAAAGTCTGAAATACATACTATCTGGCCCTTCAGGAAAAAGTCTGTGGATCGATTGTTGCTTTAGATGTGTGCTACCCTCCACTTCCAAGTACAAGATATGTGCTTGAGGAGCAGGGCACAGACAATTTCACCTGTAACTTGCCTGCTTGGTTGGAAACCCTTGTGCAGTACACAACCTGCCCAACCATACAGTGGCCATGGAAGAAAGAAAATGTCAACTCTGCTTTCTTAAAGCCTATTGTCAGCTCATATGAATCTGGGGGAGTGGTACTGGTTTGAAGAGCTCCTTCTCTTTGGAAGCTGCCCCCTGTCCCTCCTCACACCATAGCCACGAGGAGTCGGCTTGCTGTGTTTACCAAATGACGGTTCTCTCCCCATTAGCTCCCAGCCTGGCAGCTCTCCACCCTCAGCAACTGCCAGATTAAATGCATTACTTGACCATCTTCACCCGGCTCCCTTTGATGTTCCCTTCTCAAGCTTCAAAATACCTTTTGGAGGGAGATCAGACAGCATTAAACAGAATTACTAATTAATTAAGCAAAGTTAAATTTTAAACACTGTTTGTTGTGTTAGCCAAAAGCCTGAACAGAACAGACTTTTTTCCTCCGCTGAGATCAAAGACAGTCTCTTCCCTCTCCCCTCCCCCAGTTTAAAAAAAAAAGGGAGGGGTGGAGAGGAAGAGAGAGCGAAAGAAGAGAGTGAGGAAATACCTGAATGGTGACAACTTTGATTGTGGGTCTAGACACCACCCCCGCCTCCCCATGGGCCCAATGGGAGGCTCCTTGGGGATCGCATGCTGTGAGAGCCACAGTCACTCGGGACTGTTTACCCTGGCAAATGGCAGTGACCCAGGGAGCAGGATGGCACGGCCCACCCAGCCCAAGCTGCTGACAGCTGGCGCCACCCAAACAGCATGAGAAGAAGGCCTGTGAAATAAAACAGACCCACCCTCCTCAACAGTCTGGCAGGGTGAGCTCCTCGGGGCTCTTCCCCTTGGTCCAGGGTCACTTGGGGTCACTAGGAGACCGGCTCCAAGAAGCAGGCTGTGCACTGTACATCCCCAGGTGGTGCCACTCACATGACCGATACCCTAGATATGTGTATTGCTTATGACATCCTTTGGACAGATGGCAGAAAGGTGTCTTGAGGAGGGGCAGCTTTTTTCTGATTTGCACGAATGCATCCGGAGCTAGTGGGGTGCTGTCTCCCGCCGTTCAGTCTAGCACTTTATTCTGTACACTCCTATCTGGGACCTTCTGATTGCCTCACAGGAGCCTCCATATCTGCACAGCCAGAAAGCAAGTTTCTTGAGATCTGGGGCCCTCTAGGCCTCTGCTCCCGGATTGCCCAATGCCTAGCACTT